ATCTTACTGTCGAGAAATGGGTGTCCGAGAGTGCAGACGAATTTATGGCGATTTTCAGGCGCGCGGTAGTTCGGTGTTGCGAGGGGACGGAGGAGCTCCCTATGAGAGTAACGGAAGAGAGTCTCGTCGATTGGCTGGGCTTGCCAACCTACCCTGGAAATCGTTGGTCGCGTGGTATCTCTCCCTCGAGTGCATCGGTGGTTGGTTTGGGATGGACCGAGGCCGGCGGGACGATGCTGGAAGTAGAGTGCCTGCCGAGCTCAGAGTGGTTGATAACGGGGCAGGTGGGAGTGACGCTGCAGGAGACTGTCAGGATAGCGGCAAGTTGGAGCAAGATCACTAATCCTATGCACGTCAATATTGGCCCTGATGTCTCAGCAAGGAAGGACGGTCCTTCTCTCGGCCTAGCGTTAGCGGCACTGTTCTGGGCGCAGCGACGAGAGCGAACGGTTCCTCACGGGATTGGTTTCACGGGGGCGATAACGCTGAGTGGAGGAGTAGAGCGCGTTGGTGGTATCCGAGAGAAGGTGGTGGCTGCGAGTTTGGGAGGGCTAAAAGTGGCGGTGTTACCCAAAGCGAACGAGGCGGAGTGGAAGGCGATAGAAGATGGATTAAAGGATGGGTTGGAAGTTGTTTTCGTAGAGGACCTGACGGAGCTCGAAGGCTTGCTAGATGAGCTTGCCGAATTGAGAAGGGAAAGTTTCATGTATGAAGTGTGATGGTTTCTGTTAGCGGTCGTTGAGGTTGCGTTTGACGGGACAGTATCACGTTGGGGAGAAAACCGCTGCCTCTATGACGCCCATTGATCAGACGGCCGTACAACGAAGTTGCAAATATATTATTGAATGCTGAGTAGGCCGTTCGTGAAACTCAGAATCGGACTTCATTTTCCATTGTAAAGTGGTGCCGGTCTATGGTAGTCTCCAGCAGTGGATAAGGAATAATTCATGACTTCCTAATGGTGGAATGTTACCACCGAAACTCTCGATCATATTTTGAGAAACTCGTTTTTCGGAGGGGAAAAATCTCCAAGCCCGGTGGATATCATTCCTTGATAACCTCACATACTGTAGTGAATTCAAATAATCACCACAACACAGCTCACACAGAGTCATTGAAGACACTTCGATCTTGAAGTACCACAGCGAGATACCTGTAGTAGACAGCGCAATTGTGCGCGTTTCATGCTTAGCGTCGTGCATGGCTAAGAACGTGTCTCGCACTGTGCTCCTCTAAGATAAGAACAGGTTTCGTCTTAGCCTTGGGGACCTGTGTTCATCAGCAGTCCGAGGGTGATGCTCACTACTAAGCCGATCCTTAACAGCTCTTATAATTATGAGTATAATAACTAAAAGTAGCGCCAGCTTACGCTGAGATACTAGCTACATAAATACACACCAGGACACTACACGCCCGACTGGCGTCGCCCATAGGAGGCGTCAGTATGTCGAGGCGTGACTATTCGAGACGAAGCGAAAAAGGTGTATGTCGGGGTTGTCTCGGGGAATCACAGGGGCTCCACGTGCATGAATTCGAATGCAGCGGACGAACACATGATGCGGCC